ATAAAAGCCCACCAGGTCAGCCTGCAGTCACATTTCTTGAGCTGCAGACTCGCGGTAAAGTTCCTTCCTCGTTTTGTTGCTGGGCTCCCAGCGCTTGGCTCCGCCTCCTTTAGAAGGAACGGACTCTTGGAGCTGAACTGGGCTGTTTGCCTTAAAGCTGAGGTGAACCTGCGATGGTGGCCAGAAGATCAACCAACACACCTGCAGCTCAGCTTCTCCTCTGGGGCTACAGCAGGCGGCAGGCTCCGGAGCGCGGCCCTCTGGGTTCAGAGCGCTTCGCAGTCCCCTCCCCCTGCTGGGCTCTGGCTCCTCCCATCAGGCCCTCTGCTGAGGGGACATCCGTCTGCTTGGACCTGGACGAAGACAGCCGCCTGAAGAGAGACAGCTGAAACCCAGAAACAAAGCCTTTAGAGACCTTTCATGAGCTCCATGGGTCAGAACCTGCTGTTTGTCTCTCACCTTCCTGCTGGAACCTGATTGGCTGTCTGAGGGGACCTCTGCGTCCCCGTTGGCGTCCCCCGCTTCCATTCCTGTCTTTTCTCCACCCGGGGAGTCATCCTGCTGGCTGATCTCTGCTGCCGGTGATGGGGGACACCTCAGGTTGTTCTCAGACGATCTGCTGGTTAGAAGCGAAGCTCGGTCACCTTTCTGCTCGCCGTCGGCTCCAGGCTCCGCCTTCGGCTTCAGGGGCCAAAGAAGGAACAGGTTAGTGCCGCGAACGCTGATCGGCCACAGAAACACAGAGAGCGCCATATTTACAGGAGTCTCTGCTGAGGAGGACACAGACGTCTCTATCTCTTCTTCCTCTGCATCATCAACTTCCTCTTCCGCTTCCTCATCAGCTTCCGCTTCCTCTGCATCATCAGCTTCCTGTTCCTCGTCAGCTTCCGCTTCCTCTGCTACATCAGCTTCCTCTGCATCATCAGCTTCCTCTTCCGCTTCCTCATCAGCTTCCTCTTCCGCTTCCTCATCAGCTTCCTCATCCTCATCAGCTTCATCTTTGTCCCTCGTTTCCTCCACATCCTGACATCCATGAAAAACAGGAAGACATTTAGAGCAGGCCTTAGTGCTCTCTGGATGGAGGCGGCAGCAGAGGGAAGCAGGAAGCTGGAACTACGGCGACTCCTAACCCAGCTTAGAAACTGGGACTGAAGGAGGGGAAACCAGCACACACACTGGATCAGTGGAGGAAGGAAACGTGGCCAAACCTGACTCTGAATCAGCGACGCCTCAGACTGGAGAAGCATCAGACTCCCGAGTTTATGGAGGAGAAACCTGGGATAGATTTATTACTCAGCTCCTTGAAATATGAAACGATGCGGCAGGAAGTTCCTCATGGAGAGGATGAGCGTCTCTTACTCAGGAGTTTGAAGACATCAGGTTGAATTCTGGGATCATCCGGCTTCCTGGAGTCACTTTTAAACATTTAATTCATGAGGAAAAACAATCTGAGCCACCAGCTTTAGTTTGGGCAGAAACCGCAGAGCTGCAGCAGTTAGAAACGGAGCAAACGGTGTTTCTGTCCTGCCCTCACAAACATGAACACCAGCGTTAAAGTGTTAAATACGGCAGGGGATCAGTCATGCTGTGGGCCTGATTGATGCGTTCCATCTTCTGCATGTTTTCCTGAAGTGCAGCGGATTCTGGGCGGGGCTAATTAAGAAGGACGTCAGAGCAAGAAAAGAAACTCAATCTAACTGGATCAGTGGGACCAGTATGACTGCGTGGCTAAGATGTAAAAATACCAGAAGGAAAAAATGAAACAAACTAAATATTCAGAAAGAATCAGAGATTGAATCCAACGTGTAAAATGACTTTAATTTGGCTGAAATGATGCATTCATGCAGAAAGTGAATCAGTAGTTCAGTCTTTGATCTGTGCAGATAGAATGGACAGCAGCATGTGGCTGATCTGTTCACATTGATCCTGCTCCTCCTATAGACGCCTACAGAGTTTATTACACAGTCAATCCATTTTATTCCTGCTTTCTAGGAATTCAGCAATTCATCCCAAACACAACAACTCAGATAGAAAACAAAGAGTCAGATGTAGAAAACTAGAAGGACAAAGATGGAAAAAAACAACAACAACAACAGAAATGAAGATAAACACAGACACGAGAATAAAAAGAAACAGAAGAAAGTATAGAAGCTAAAGGCACAGAAAGTAACCTAGAACACAATTAGACATTTAGAACACGGTTAAACCTTTAGAACACGATTAGGCCTTTAGAACAGGGTTAGGCCTTTAGAACAG